CGCTTCCACCCAAGTCTCCTCAGAGACCGCATCATCGATCTTCCGCAACGCCTCGTATATTTTACAAAGCATCATGAAGACAGCCACAACCTTTGATGAAGACCAAAAAGTATGACAGCTTTAAGCAAATATGTCTTGCGATGCCTGCCACTTGGCATCCATGACTTGCTTTGCCGTCAGGAGATCCTCCACAGCCTTCGCAGACGGCTCGTGCCCTGCGAGCTGAAGCTCAATCTTGGCCTGATTTCCAGCCTGGCACAAGCATCTGAATTGAAAAAAAAAGATTCGTCGACAACGGTATCTTACATCAGAAATCCAATGAAAAAGACGCTTCAGGGGCCTTCGTGAAAATCACGTTCTGCACACCCTCCTTGGTGGCCGTTCGGTCCACCAGAGGGAAAGGCTGGCTGTCCAATGTGGACAACCGAGCCTTCCTCAAGTCCCACACAGCCTTAGGGTTGTCCTTGGCTTTCGACTTCGCTTTTGCCTTGCCTTTCGGCTTCGGATCACCTGAAAATTTGAAATGCACGAGGAGGCATTCGGATGAATGTGGTGCCACAACACTGAAGCTTCGGAAGATGCAAAGCAATCACTGTGAAGCCTCCAGCAGGGGTCTCCACAGGTGCAGAGGGCTTTGGGGCAGCTTGCTCTGGCGTGGGAACAGCAGCTTCGGCAGCCGGAGGCTCACTGCTTGACGCAGCTGGTTCCGCGGGAACGTAGCCGAACCTTACATGCAGGCATGGACTGAAAGCACCAGGCAGGACTCCCACACAACAGCCGCCAAGCAGCACTTGTTTCAGGAGTGCCCGGGCTTCTGGGCGCTTATCGGATATGATGGGGACGATCTTGGATCGAACCTCATCGATCCTCGCGTAGCTTTCTTCCTTGCGGTGCTGCACGAGAAGCTTGTAGAGTTTCGCGTCTGTCCGCATCAAGCTCGGGTCTTGCATCCAGCCTCGTAAAAAACACATGCACCCATAAATCAGACACTGGAGCAAGCACTCATCCAATGCGTGCAAGAGACGCCCATCCAAGAACGCCTCCGTGATGGCCTGCTTGGCCTTCTCGGCGTTGTTGTGGTAAAACACCAAAACGGCTTCTGCTGTCAGCCAGTCTGTGAGCTTCTGCTCCTTCCTTGAAACAATCTGATCCAAGCTCCCATTCTCAATGCAAGGACATCCACATGTAATGGAGGAATGTCTGGCGGAAACACTTGGAATTTAAGAGCTCAAAAATCATCTGGTATCACATGTCTGGAGACAGATTTATTATAGGCAGAGAGCACAGGAAAATACCTGGCTGAGCTCCTGACTCGACGTGCTGTTCTGTCAGGATGAGCTCGGCCGAGACGTTGGCAACAGAGCCATCCTCCCACCATTTCTTCAGCAGGTCCTGCCTCGGGGTACCCTTGGCCTCCCATGCCACCAACATCTCAAAGCTCACTCTGTTCATGTTGGCACAGCAACGACGGACGGACTGCGTCGTCTTAGCAACCTCGTCTGGCGTCGCCTGAGCTGATGATTTGTCTGCAATTCAACAATGTCAAAACCTGGGCGGGCGCCCAAATCATCCAAGTTGCGTCCTCCCACTTCTTCTTGTGAGCCCCAAGGACTTTTGTGGAAGCGTCGAAGGTCTCGGAAGGGGTTGGCTCGGACGGGGCCCGGAGTTGGAACGAAGCTGGCGGTGGTGGGGTCTGGGCGGTCTGGGGCACAGCTTTCGGCACCGAAGCTGGGGTCGCAGGCGGCGTCGGCGTGGCAACGGGGGCTTGGCTCTCAGGCACCGAAGCAGGGTCGGCGCCGTGCAGGCTGGCCTGGTCAAAGGCGCTCGAGCGCCTCAGTGGTGGGGTTGGCTCCTTGTCCACCTGAAGCTTCGCCACTTCCTGCCCAAGCTGGCGCTTGAGCTCCAGCACCCGAGCCTTCTTGGCACTCAGCAGGTCCTCCGTCTCCTTGCGTTTGCGCTCCTGCTCCTGCTTTCGCAGCAACTCCCCAAAACAAGCCTCCTCACGCTCCCGCACAGCTCGCTCCTCTGCAGCAGCCTTTTCACGAGCCCTCTGCTCAGCCTCCTCACGTTTCTTCTTCTCAGCTGCTTCACGAGCTTTCTGTTCCTCCTGCCGCTGCTTCTCGAGCAGCACCTCCTGCTGCTTCTCCAAGAGAAGACGCTGGAGCCTGTCGCCCTCCTCTTCCAACTGCTTCAGCTCCAGCTGTTG